GACGTCACTTCTTCTTCTTGTTTGAATTAAAGCTGCATCAATAATCATTTCGAGTCACGTGGCAGCCCTCTGAAGCGAACCGTGAGGCGCCTGAGGAGCCTCAGCCCCGCGGTGGAGCGGCGAGAACACGAGCCCTGGGATGTGACGTACAGAACACGGTTGATGCAAAGCAACCGGGCTCATGTTCTGACAGAGAAACACATCGTCTGCGCTGACAGAAAGAGACGAAGAGCGACGATGATGATGAATATAGTTTTTAGACGGAAAGTAGGACAGTTTTTTTGTCAGTGTTTACACAAATGTGGGTCTCTGGAGAATAAAAAAGAGAGGGAAAAAAAGAAAGAGGCCAGATTTCCTGCTTCTAAGTAAATTGTGGGTTCTGCAGTTTCTGTGAGGCATCAGGTCCATGATCTGCTGTAAATGTCTGTTATTACCATTCCCTACATGTTTTATTCTCCCTAAAAAGACACCCCTGAAGGTCACGCTGTGTCTTTTTCTCTGCTTTCTTTTTTTTTTTAATCAGTCCATCATTATTGATCGGCGCTGACGCTTGCATTGAAGAGGCGGCTTTAAAACTGAAGGGAAATAACTTTTCAACTCTCAGATACAGAAAAAAATACAAATAAAAAAGGGATTCATTCAAAGAGCTTTGTCACCTTTTGTTTCTCCYGAGCAGCCTCTTTAATATAATTGCTCGTTTCATCTCATGTTCAGGTGACAGCGGATGTTTGCTGCTGGTTAAACACACAAGGTCGTAAAGTAAATGCTAAATTTCATCACCGTGTCGTTCACCTTTAAACAATATAGTGCAACAAATTGCAGCTTACTGGAAGTTTATTACATCAACTCACATTTTCAACTAAAAGAATGAGCAGTAATAATGAGTTTAAATCAAATTGACACAATTTACTATCTATGGTTGTGTAAGAAATCTTTTAATATTGCATTTCTTATCTGTTTTTTATATGAGTAAAGCTATTCTGCAAGCAATATGATATGATAATCCATGATATTACTTTCTAGATAAACTGTCTGCTTAAACTTTCACTCACAAGTAATTGGTATTAGTTTGTATTTTTTTTTTAAGAAAAGTGCTAATTTTCTTTCTGATTTGCATTCAGTACGGAGAAAGAAACACCCCTGAAGTACAACACGCTGGATGGGAGTGGAAATGCAGATGGCACACAAATGTCAATATAAATAAAGGGAATTGCCAATAAATTTAAATTAAAATATGAATGCAATAATAATCAATACACTTCAAAAACTGATCAGATGCAGAAGCATTAAGACTTTATATGATACAACTTTAAGAATAAATATTATCTGATGATAAAAATATTAAAAATAATGAAAACATGAACCTGGGTTTAACCAAACAAACAGATACAGAGCAGTTTACTGCAATTTAAAAGGTTAGAAATCTACTTTTGTTTTGGTTAGATATGAAACAAATCATCAGATAAAAAACAAAAATGTCCATAAAAGATCAACATGAGTTTCTGTTGACTGAATAATCCTAACCAGCGTTCAGGCAGCTGAAGGTAAGTGAAGGTAGGTTTCTCCCACTGGAAAAGTACAGCWGTACCTCAAAAATCAGCTCCGGAACTGAAACGTATGCAATTAGTAGTTTCCAATAGGATAAATAGATTTGTTTGGACGACGATACGATGTCGATATCTCAGCGGGCTGCAACTGTTGAAGACGAGTTGGTTAAAGAAACCGAAAAAGAAAATAGCAAGACAAAATGTAAATTTTCTGTTATAGTCGAGCTGAACTCTAAACGTTTATGACAAAGTAGCCATTGTGTGATTTGAGCAGACAGATGATTTTAGTGTGCAAAATTGCATTCTTGGTCGTGCACATTACTTGGTCTAGTTCTGCCTGATTTGCAGCCATCTTGGCAGGAAGTATGTAAAACTCTTGGCAGCTGTGGCCACGGTTATGATTTATTCTGCTGGAAGATGGTTTTGTATGGAGCCCGTAAGGCGACATGGTGAAAAAAAAATCAAATAAAAGGATCCTCGCTTACTTTCGCAAGACCCTGCGAAGGTTTCTCAGGATCCTAAGAAACCTTTGCAGGATCCTGAGAAACCTTTGAAGGATCCTGTGAAACTTTCGCAGGATCATGAGAAACCTTTGCAGGATCCTGAGAAACCTTTGCAGGATCATGAGAAACCTTTGCAGGATCATGAGAAACCCTTGCAAGTTCCTGAGAAACCTTTTCAGGATCATGGAAAACTAAGGCAGGATCCATGTTTGTTTTTTTCTCCATGTCCCCTTATGGTCTCCGTAGTTTTGAAACAAAAACAGGCAGACTTGGACTAGTTTATGA